GTGTCGGAGGCAATGAGATTGGCACAGGATAGAGCACAATTTAGGGCTGTTGTACATAGGGTCGCTATGAGTTGCAAACGACTCGACGGCACATAACAACAACAACAAATACAAAACCTATATGTGGACCAAGAGGCAGTCATAAGAACAGAGCAAGGAGACACTACATGGTTCAAATTCAAGAAGGGGGTCTGGTCCGTCAGAGATGTATTCTGTGTCCATGCCTTTTCAATCTGTATGAAGAACAGATCATCCAAGACGCTGGGCTGTATGAGGAGGAATGCACCCTCAGGATTGGTGGAAGAGTCATCAACAACCCGCGTTACGCGGATGACACAACCCTGCTTGCTGAAACTGAGGAGGACCTGAAGGGCTTGCTAAAAAAGGCCAAGGACTGCAGCCTTTAAAATGGATTGAAGCTCAACATCAAGAAAACAAAGATTCTCACCATTGGGCCAATTGGCAGCATCAGTATGGATGGTGAAGAGATTGAGATAGTTAACAGTTTTAGTTTACTTGGTTCCACAGTCAACACTCTTGGCAGCAGCAGCCAGGAAATCAAGAGACGAGTTGCATTGGGAAAGTCAGCTGTGAGGGACCTCTCCAGTGTACTAAAGAGCAATGACATCAGGCTGGAGACTAAGGTGTGCCTGATCCAGGCTACGGTCTTCACAATTATGTGCTATGCATCAGAGAGTTGGACAGTGACTAGGGATGACAGAGAGGATTGATGCCTTTGAGCTGTGGTTCTGGAGAAGAGTGTTGAATATACCACGAGCTGCTAGAAGAACAAACAGGTTTGTCCTGGAGAGGGTGAAACCAGAATGCTCTTTGGAGTCAAGGATTCTGAAGCTTCGTCTGACATATTTTGGGCGTGTTGCAAGGAGGGACTGGTCCTTGGAGAGGGACATCATGTTTGGGAGAGTGGAGGGGCGGTGCAGGAGAGAAAAACCCTCAATGAGATGGATCGATTCTGTGAGTGGAGTGGTGGGAATGAGTGTGTCTGAGACGGCGAGGTTGGCACAGGATAGAATGGCATTTAGGGCTCTCGTGCTTAGGGTCGCTATGAGTCACAAGCAACTCAGTGGCACATAACAACAACAAAAGAAGAATTGATGTATTTGAATTATGGTTCTGGTAAAGGATATTGAATATATCATGTTGTTGGCAGGTGCTGTTGAATCAAGTATGACTCATAACAACCCTATCACTGAACAGCAGCTTTGAACCTTTGTCCTTTCCTGGGCCATCCTCATCATCTCTGACATACTTGAGCACACTGTTAAAGTCGCTGTCAATCCATCTTGTTGCAGGTCCTCCTCTCTTTCATCTACCCTCCTCTTTTCCAAGCGTGATGTCCTTTCCTGAGTACTAGCAACATACCCAAAATATGTGAGATGACCATAGTTATAAAAGGAATACAGTGGAACTGGATCCACCTGGCATGTCTGACCCTAGAGCCTGTAATCATACCACTATGCTCTGTGGTCTTCTCAGGTTGTGGATGACTTTATGTAAGTCATTGACACAACGTGATATGTTTCTTTGTCTATAAAACAAAGTCACTAAATCTGTCAAGCTAAAAAGTAAACCAGAGTCACCACAGAATGAACCAAGGACAGGTGCCAGGCAGGGCCAAGAGAGTAGAGTGACAGTCAAAAAAAAAAACAAAACCAAAACTCAGCTGGCTGCTAATCTTGGGAAAACCACATCACCTGCAAAGGCTTCAGTTTTCTCATAGAATGAAGGGCTGGATTTCGTGTTCAGTAGAGTGTTCTCAATATCATCAGAAGAAATACCCAAACCAAACTCATTGCCATCAAGTGAATCAAAACTCAAAGAGATCCCACGTATTACTGACAGGGTTTTCCTTACTATAGTCTTAACAGAATCCTATTTCCAGACTTTTTCCCCAGTGTATCACTGAGTGGGTTCAAATTAGCAGTCTTTAGATTGGTGGTCAAGTACACCCAGGGACCTTCTCTCCTTCACCAGCTCAGGGTGATCTCTAGGAATCGGCTAAGAAGCAAAGAGCAGAGTGGAGGTTACAGTTTGTTATTCCTTCAGCAGAGATCTATTCATGGGAGAAAATGTAAATCTGAAGTCAGAATCTATTAATTGCAAAGCAGTTTAGCAACAATTATTTAGCATTTGGCACATATCTAATCCAATGAATAGAAGACCTCAGCTTATTTAAGACCTAGGCTTGGTGCACAAAAATAGCATCCCTATTCTCAAGGAATTTGCTCTTATTTATAAACGTAGACCCAAGCGCTGAGTTTAACTATGATTGGTATACTAATAATGATGACAGCTAATGAACAGCCCTTACTATTCAAAATTTCTCACATTCCTTACCTGATTTAATCCTCAAAACCAGGAAATGAGCAAATACTATCTTTACACAGAAGTAAATTCAACATAAATAAATTGAAAAATTTTGTTTTGAGAATCATAGCAAATGGCAGGGCAAGGCCTTGAACTGTCATGTATAGATTCCATACTATTACTCCAAAGTGGAAAGTTATACTGTCCTCTAGCCAAGGCAGAGTACTGGGAGGATTTTTATTAGTTAACTCAAAGACAGTTCCTCACCAAAAGCATTTTGATATAAAGAAAGAAAACTTACCCCAGGCCTCAAGACCCAGAACTGAGATGACAAGAAGCCATGGTAGCATCCTCAGGAAGTCCCAGGACACCAACCAGGGGAGCATGAGCTGTGTGGCCCTGGGAGAGAAACTGAGGTTTGACATGGCATTCTACCCTCCAATTGGATCACCCACCCTTCTACATGGTATACCCATCTGCCTCCTCTAATAGAGTGTTATTCATCTAGGAGCTAAGACGTTGTTCAGATCTTCAAGTGCTTGGTACCAGCACCAGGCTTGGTACTCAGCAGGTGATCAGTAAATATAAGGAGGCAAACACCTCTATCCCACCATCCCTCCTAGCGCCCTATGGAGCTCCTGATTATTTGGAGACTCAGACTTGCTTCCAGGGGTAGATAATAGTTTAAGTAGCTATTATGTATAAACTCTACATAGAAATTTTTATACTCAGTGTCACACGTCTATATTTCATTCCTACAAAATTCCTATATTCTTTTTTTAAATTGAGATTTTAAGGAAAGTTTATAGAGAATTTGGGTTTCCATTCATTCATTGTTGCACATTTTCCTCCCTGCTCCGCCCACCCCCCAAAGTTTGTTTTTCTCTTTGAAAAAAAAAAATCTTTCATTGTTGTACAACTCCACCACCACCAGGCCACTTCACTATGCAGCTCTTATTCGGAACTGTTGTCATGCAAATAATACCTAATCATATATTCCTTTTAAGCAATTCTTTCCCTTATCTGTTTCAGTGCCATGTACACTCTTTATTTCTTGGTTTTTTTGTTTCCCCTCAACTGAAATGTCAGTCCTATTTTATAACAGTGGCATTATGCAGGATTTGTCCTTTGGTGAGTGAGATATTTCACTCAGCATATGTCCTCCAGAGTCACTCATTTGGTATAGTTCATGAGTTCCTTGTTTTTCCAGTGCTGCATAGTAGTCCATTGTGTGAATATACCACAGCTTCTCTACCCATTCAGTTGTTGGTGGGCACTTACGTTGCTTCCATCTCTTTGCTATTGTGAACAACGCAGCAATAAACATGGTATGTATATATATCTGCTTGGGTGGCAGTTCTGGTTTCTTTTTTTTTTTTTTAGTTCTGGTTTCTTTAGGGTATATTCCCAGTAGTGGAATTACTGGATCAAAAGGTATTTCTATTTGCAGCTATTTGAGTAAGCATCATACTGCCTTCCATAGTGGTTGCACCACTTTACACTCCTACCAACAGTGAATAAGTTTCCAGTTTCTCCACAACCTCTCCAGCATTTGTTGTTTGCTGCTCTGTTGAATTTTGTTATTCTTACTAGAGTGAGATGATATCTCATAGTTGTTTTGATTTGCATCTCTCTTAGAGCTAGGGATTTTGAACATTTCTTCATGTGTTTGTTCGCCATTTGGATGTCTTCTTTGGTGAAGTGGAATAAAATATCCTTAACTCAATTTTTATCAAAGAGCTTTATTTCCAGGACTATTTGACATTCTTAAGTATGAAGAGTCAAAATGGGTAGGATCAATCTCCCTTCCTATGTAGAAACACCTTGGCTCTTTGTGGTTAACTAATCTTTTCTTGAATGAGTATAATCAGCAACAGTAGTTCCTACTTACTGATCACTTTATATATTCCATGAATTTACTGAGGACATCACAGGGACTTCATTAAGTCTCCTCATAATGATATAGAGGTCCATACTTATCATCAAGAAACTGGACCTCATACAATTTAACTTATTTGTCCAAAGTTAACCAACTCGGAGTAGTGAGAATTAAACCAGAATTAAACCACAACCTTGTAGAGTGCCTGATGATGGAGCTTCTCAGTGTGTGTGTGTGTGTGTGTGTGGGGGGGGGACAAGAGATTAAACTCAATGATTTCCGCAGTTCCTTCCGCAGCTCCAAGAATCTTTGTTGTCCTCCAAATAGAAATGAATTTCTTGGCCATATACAATCAATACAAAATATTAGCTCACTGAGATATCAATAAAAGCATCAAATGTTCCTCTAATTCTCCTGAGAAACTGTAAAGAAAGACTTGAAATAAAATGCACTAAATAATCTCTCTCCAGAGGGCTTTATGCTCCAGCTGTGTCTCCAAATGGAAACTATTTAAGAACAACACGCTTAAATCGTACACATAAAGAAACTTCCTCCATCAGGACAAGCAACAGCTTAGTGAATAAAGTTCTATTAATTGAGGAAAATTTTGTACCAAACTCAAAATGTACCAATCACAAATGAGGGCATGTAGGAAAACGAAAGGTAGTCAAATGACAGGTTAAGGATTAACTTGTCCAAAACATCAACCCTATAGGCCTGTCTCCTATAAAAGGAGCTGACTTTCTGCACAAATAACTGGAAACCAGCTATCTTCAAGGTCAGTCACAAGGTTTTGGACCTGTGTTACCTGATCCTGGTGGTTCCTCAATCACAAAGGCTAATTGTCACCGACCACCCGACTACGGTCGTGACAAGAAACTCAAGGGGTTTCTTGGTGAAGAGCAGGTGAGGGACGAAGTCGGCGAAAATGAGAGTCTGCACACCAGGATGATGTAGAGAGCTCTGATTTATTATGCTAAAAGCTTGCTTTTTATACATTTAAACTTGTTTAAACTTGACTTATAGCC